CCGCATCGTAGCTTGCTTCGCCAGATTCTCATAATCACTCAGCCGTTTCATGTTTTAACCTGGCTCCTAGACTCAGGACTCTGGGCGTGAGATTTCTGTGGTGAACGCCAATCAATCGAAAGTAGGTTTGCAGCTTACAGAGCGAATGTTTTACGCATGTTTTTATTTTAAGTTTTAAAAAGCCCCTTTTTGTTTGTGTCCTTTATAAAAATTATACCTCTGCTGCCTGGCATTACATTTTATGACACACATTGCCCGGCCCGAAAAGGTCTCATTTATGTCAGATCGGCCCTCATAACAAATCAATTCGACACCCCTGCTCTAGGCTGAGCCTGCATTGAACAGGGGGCTGGACTAGATGGCCTCTAGGGACACTTTTGACTCTATGATTTTATGATTCTAAGTCATGGGTGTCAAATTCATTTGTTATGAGGGTCGGATCTGACATAAATGAGACCTTTTCGGGCCGGGCCACGTGTGTCATAAAATGTAATGCCAGGTAGCGGAGGTATAAATGTTATAAAGGACACAAACAAAAAGGGCCTTTTTAAAACTTAAAATAAAAACATGCTTAAAACATTAGCACTCCTGCAATATTTTGTTCATTTAACAGTGTCTGATAACTGACGCCTCTTGCTCTGAATTATCGCATCAAAACATCTGTGCTGTCGCAATCTTGAGCGTGCTGTTCAGGTGTGTATCTGTAAGCTGCAAACCCACAATGACGCAGCAGCAGCAGAACTGGAAGAAGAAGCAGAAGATAGCCGGTTCCACTGTGGGCCTGACAGGAGCCCTCCGGGGGCCTGATCCGGCCCCCTGGGCTGCATGTTTGACACCCCGGATTACAGTGTCCAGGGAACGTCAAAAAGCTACAAATACACTGTAATAAAACGCTAAATAAATCAAGGTAACTGAAGTTGTGCATAGTAGTATTTATCTATTGTGTGCAATTATTTCATTACAAAACTTACACAATTATACATCATATATTGTAGAAACAATTCTGAAACACAACGGCTGCGGTCACACACAATAAACAATTCACTTTCAATCCGTTTTCAGTGCACTTTCCAACTGGATGTTGCCAGTTCACACAGTAAAGTCTGGTTGGGAAGTGGATTGAGAGCAGATTGTTTACTGTGTGTGACCAGCAGCCAATATGAACGGTCAGCTGCAAACCGACAATGACGCAGCAGCGGCGGAACTGGAAGAAGCAGAAGCAGAAGAGAGCCGGTTCCACTGTGGGCCTGATAGAAGCCCTCCGGGGGCCTGATCCGGCCCCTGGGCCACATGCTTGACACCACCAGTTCTGAGGCTGACACCCTAACCACTCCACCGCGCTGCCTTTCCCATATGCAACAGATCACCCGGTCTCCCCCCACCACTGCAAGTTGGGTTGTGAGTCTCACACGGTTGAAGATCTACACTTCTCGAGAAGCAACCGGGGCGGAATCCATGCGACCAGAGTGCAAGGTGTAACCGCCCTGTTCCGACGGCACCATCCCTCGCCATTAGCCGTCTTCCGAAATGCTGGCCCTGAGCCAGGATCGGGCAGGAACACCCTTTCTCTTCACCCCCTGAGCCACCTCCGTCAGCAGACGACGGAGCTAATCTGATCCCTGTCTCCTTCCTAATCCACACCCTTCTGGGTTTGTTCACCACACCCGTCTTACACTCCCTGAATACATTTTTGTTTTCCTGGGGGGCGCGTATGTCGTCGAGGGTTACTTTTCTAGCCGGGGTTCTGTTTTTAAAATCTCGAACTCGGGGCTGGGCCTTATTTAAATTCCAAGCCTGCTCCACGGTGAGGTTGGCTCCCGGGGCAAACGCAGAACATGTCGACGACTCCCCCCCACCCCAACAAGGGCTGTTCCTTGTGGCTTGGTCTCCTCCGCCTAGCTGTCAGCTGAAAGGCTGCATGACTGATTTATTAGAGCGTGGATACTGTGCCCCGGTTCCCAAGGTGGCCTCCTCATTAAAATACATCATAAATCCTAACAAAGAAAGATTTTTAAAAACTCTTCGGAGGGAGGAATGAAGCAGATCGGACAAATGCTTTCAATAAATCCTCCTTCATTTAAATTAATCCCAGAAGTCATATCAATTATTCCTCAGGACCACAGAGACCCCTGAAAGCCTAGACCTGTCACAATCGGTGTTCCCTCTAAGCTGAGTCAGTGCGAGCAGGCTCACAGTTTTTTAACCTCCGGCTCACGTATTTTTGCCTTAGCTCAGGAAGGGATGGCTCCAGAGCAAGCTAATTCATGCGGCAGCCAAACTGCTCACTCACAACTTTAATGCCAGCAGCTCACCACGTAGGATTTTTGCTCACAGGACTCCACAGCTTAGAGGGAGCATTGGTCACAATACCAACATAAGAAGCTGAGAGTGGATTTGGAATTTAGAAAATTCCTGGTGGCAGCCGGAACTACCTATTTTCAATTCAATTCAATTTATTACAGGTCTATACGACCGAAGTCTTGACCAGAAGAAAATGCAAAAGGGGGGGGGGGGAAATAGGTACATAAAATTAACATAACATATGACAAGGTGCATAATCACAATCACATAAAACCCAGGCTGAGCTCAGAGATTAAAAATTACCTAACTACACTTGGGGCGAAGCCAACTAACTAAAATCATATGAAGATTAAAAATCGGTGTTGGTTTTTACAGAGGTGCCTATTTTATAAACACCCAGTATAATTTAAAGAGAAACTTAAAGGTAAAGGTTCCCTTGCTCGAAAGCCAGTCGAATCCGACTCTAGGGTTGCGGTGCTCATCTCCGTTTCAAAGCCGAAGAGCCAGCGCTGTCCGAAGACGTTTCCGTGATCATGTGGCCGGCATGACTAAACACCAAGGCGCACGGAACGCTGTTACCTTCCCACCGAAGTGGTACCTATTTATCGACTTGCAATTTCTTGCTTTCGAACTGCTAGGTTGGCAGGAGCTGGAACTAGAGACGGGAGCTCACTCCGTCATGCGGCACCCGGGTCTCGAACTGCTGAACTACCGACCTTCCACAGCCTGCAGTTCAGTGTCTTAACCACTTGAGCCACCGCAGCTCCTTAAAGAGAAACTTAGTCCTCCCCAATAAGAGGTTGTCACAGGGACGCCGGGGAGCGATGTCCTGATCGCGCTTCCCCTGGATCAAACTCATCCAGTTGGAACTGGAGCGGTTTACGCCGCTCCCAGCCCGCCGTCTGACCGCAGCCACAGAGTTCTTTAAACCCTTCCTCTCCCATGGAGCAGCTGTCAAGATTGTGGCCAACACCTTACCCTTCTGATGAAGTTCGGCTAGGAGTGCCGGGCACGGGCTGGGCTGGGCTGAAGCGCCTGAGAACTGAGACCCAGAAAGAGGGGAGGACCGCTGCCCACGCCGGGATCAGGGCTTCGGAAGCCTAAACAGCTAAGGGTGGACGGTTTCCCCCACAGCCTGGGAGCACTAGGCCGGGGCCCGGGAGGGAAGATTTCCTGGACGACAGTTCAAATCTGTCCCTGCTGATCCTGCGCCGTGGCGGGGTTTAATGCCGCTAAAGGCGGACAGGCGGGTGGTGGCTCCATAAATCCATCAACACAGCCCTGCCGGCCTGAGAACACCCTTGGGTTTACGTGTCACACGGAAGCGGCAAGCCAGATAGGGGAAAGAGAGAAAGGGCGCAACTGCTGACTCGGTCCGTGGGCTCTGGAGGAAGCGGAAGGAGGCCCATTTCCCAGTTTCCCGACTGGATCAGTCGGGCAAGCATATTCCATGGAGGGACAACCACTTAAATGTCGCGAGCGAGCCTGCTGATCTCCCACATGCCTGTCACGTGAACGCACATGAAGCTGCCTTCATGTGGGAAACTCCACATTCAGAGGCACTAAACCTCTGGATCCCAAAGCCAGGAGGCAACACCAAGGGAAGGCCTCGGCCTCCATGCCCTGTTGTTGGACCCTCAGAGGAACTGACTGGCCACTGTGTGAGACAGGATGCTGGACCAGATGGGCCCTCACTGGTCTGATCCAGCAAGGCTCTTCTGATGTTCTTCTCAGGGGAAGGCCTCGGCCTCCATGCCCTGTTGTTGGACCCTCAGAGGAACTGACTGGCCACTGTGTGAGACAGGATGCTGGACCAGATGGGCCCTCACTGGTCTGATCCAGCAAGGCTCTTCTGATGTTCTTCTCAGGGGAAGGCCTCGGCCTCCATGCCCTGTTGTTGGACCCTCAGAGGAACTGACTGGCCACTGTGTGAGACAGGATGCTGGACCAGATGGGCCCTCACTGGTCTGATCCAGCAAGGCTCTTCTGATGTTCTTCTCAGGGGAAGGCCTCGGCCTCCATGCCCTGTTGTTGGACCCTCAGAGGAACTGACTGGCCACTGTGTGAGACAGGATGCTGGACCAGATGGGCCCTCACTGGTCTGATCCAGCAAGGCTCTTCTGATGTTCTTCTCAGGGGAAGGCCTCGGCCTCCATGCCCTGTTGTTGGACCCTCAGAGGAACTGACTGGCCACTGTGTGAGACAGGATGCTGGACCAGATGGGCCCTCACTGGTCTGATCCAGCAAGGCTCTTCTGATGTTCTTATGAAGGCCTCAGACTCTGTTCCCTGTTGGACCACAAGAGGACCTGGTTGGCCACTGGGTGAGGCAGGATGCTGGACTAGACAGACCACCACTGGTCTGATCCAGCAGGTTTCTTCTTATGTTCTTATGCCTTATACTGAATCAGTCCATCAAGGTCAGTGTTGCCTACTCACACCAGCAGCCGATCTCCAAGGTCTCAGGCAGAAATCTTTCACATCATCTACTGCCTGGTCCTTTTTAACCAGAGGTTCCGGGGATTGAACCTGGGACCTACTGCATGCCCAGCGGAGGCTCCACCACTGAGCCCCATCGTCATTGTCTTCTTACAGAACGTGAAAGGAGACCCAGATATAAGACCCCAGAGTTCTTCCAGCCAACCTCTGGGTGGGTGGGCCTTTAAGACGAAGGGCTTGCCAGGTTAACAACATCCTCACCTGCCTCTCCAGAGAGATCTTGTCACACTCCAGGTCCTGCCGGACGGCACGCTCCTGTAACAGCTCGGCACGCAACTGGTCGATCTGGAGAAAGAGGGAGAGAGAGGAAGGGGCGGGCTTAACACGAGGCTTCCTGCCGGCCGGCCTGAAGCCGAAGTCTGTTCTGAAAGCAACACAAAACAGAACAGAAGAGTGACAGCTCAGTAGAGACGGCTATGCTTAACAGGATGCCTTTTAAAATGAATAAATTTAGAGTCCAGGGACACCTTTAAGACCAACAAATTTTTATTCAAGGTATGAGTTTACATGTGCATGCACACTTCCTCAGATACATTGAAAGGGAAGTTCATATATATGCTAATTTGCTGTTCACCTATGTAGAGACATCTGCCTATATCTATATATATCTATCTATATATAGATATATTTTGCAGGATTTGACACATCCTGAACATTCCCTGTTTGAACTGCTGCCTTCGGGCAGAAGATATAGGACAATTAAAGCAAGGACAAATAGATTAAAAAATAGTTTTTCTTCGAGAGCTGTTATTGCCTTAAATGCTGTATGAAATTGGAATTTGGGTGACACTGGTGGTTTTAAGTTGTTATGTGAACCTTAAGGGAGTTATGGGACAGTTGTGAATGGTGTGTGAGTGTATATGAATATTGTTGTAGATCACCGAAATGATTGCATCTTTAATTTCGCTGTACTATGTACAACGACAATAAAGTATATTATATATATATGAACTGTTAACGTCCCTTTCCATGTATCTGAGGAAGTGAGCCTGCACACGAAAGCTCATACTTTGAATAAAACTTTGCTGGTCTTAAAGGTGCCACTGCGCTCTAAATTTGTTCTCCAGTTTCAGACCAGCATGGCTGACTGCCTGGATCTATCTTTTTAAATGAAGGTATAGTTTTAAAGTATTTTCTTGCATGCACACCGTTCACCTTCTGCAGGGAAGATCCCGGCATTGTGGTGGCAACTGCTGTCAAAGCAATGTTCCTTTTTAAAAAATCTGCACGGCCAATCAGATTTCCAGTGGCCAATCGCAAGCCCCGCTGGGCAAAACCCCTGCCCGGCTCCTCCCACTTTCTCAAAACGCCTGGCGGGCCCTGGGAAAGGTGACGGCGGGCGCCGCGTTGGGGAACCCTGCCCCAGAGGGCCCCAGGCAAGGAAAGTCACTCTTCCTCAGCAGCCTCAGTCCCACCCTCTGCGATAATACAACCTACTTTACCGGGCCGTTGCTAGGGGTTACAAAAAGATAAGAGATGCTAAGTGCTTTTAGAACACTCGGTATTTAAAATAACAGTGGGCCCGCCGCTGGGAAGGTGACCTCATTGTGTAGTGAGGATTTAAACAGGCTTATTTCCGTGTTTCGCTGCAAGGCAGGGCCAGCCCTGCAATGGCCTCACAGAGCTCCCCACCCCCGGCCCCCAGATTATCTGCCAGTCGTCTAGACAGACTCGGAGGGCCTGCCTGCATCATCTTGGCCAAGAGAAGGAGGAGGAGGAGGAGGAGGAGGAGAAGAAGGACAAGGAGAAGGAGGAGGAAGAGAAGGAGAAGGTGAAGGAGGAGAAGGAGAAGGAGAAGGAGGAGGAGGAGAAGGAGGAGGAGGAGGAGGAGAAGGAGAAGAGGAGGAGAAGGAGAAGAGGAGGAGAAGAGAAGGAGAAGAGGAGGAGAAGAATAGGAGGAGGAGGAGGAGAAGAGGAGGAGAAGAATAAGAGGAGGAGGAGGAGGAGAAGAAGAGGAGGAGGAGGAGAAGAAGAGGAGGAGGAGGAAAAGGAGGAGGAGAAGGAGGAGGAGGAAGAAGAGGAGGAGGAGGCTAAATGGGAACCTCCACGTTCAGGGGCAATCTACGCTAGCAGAGGAGGCCTTGTGGTCCTGCTGCAGGATACTGGGCTGGACAGACTCCTAGCTAGGGTTGCCAGGTCTGACTCAGGAAATATCTGGGGACTTTGGGGGTGGAGCCAGGAGACCTTGGGGGTGGAGCGAGGAGCCAGGATGTGACATCATTTTTGTGATGTCACTAGGCGACTGAACTCCAAAGGGAGTTCTGGCCATCACATTTAAAGGGACCGCATTCCTTTTAAACGCTTTCCCTCCATTGGAAATAATAGAGGATGGGAGCACCTTTTTGTGAGCTCATAGAACTGGACCCCCTGGTCCAATCTTTTTGAAACTTTTTTTTGGGGGGGAGGTTCAGATGAGGGACCCCCAGCTATGCTGAAAATCAGATGCCTCTCACTCAAAAAAACAGCCCTCCCCAGAGAACCATTATACCCTATGGGGACCGGTCTCCATAGGGTATAACGGAGCGCCCTGCAGCCATTCCCCCCCCCCCACTTTCTGACAGTCCTGAAGCGGGGGGGGAGGGGCTCCAAGCCAGGGGATTCCCTGCGCCCAACTGGGGATTGATGTTGAAAAGAAGCAAACAACCGCGATAGATTGTGCCAAAAAAATAAAGTTTTTCAGGACTTGTAAATTCTTTTTCCAGTATTCAGTTTACTGGAAGCAACTCAAACTCCATCGACACCAACGAACCCTGCATATTACGTCTCGTTTCGTGTACTAACTTTATCAATGTGGGTAGCGTTGAAATACCTATAGAATATTAATTCATTTGGCAAGCACACTGGTCATATCTCATAGACACATCCATCAAACCCATTAGTGTACTGGATTTGATGAATGTACTGGATGGATTTGATGAATGTGACTATGAGATACTGACTATGAGATATGACTGAGAGCCAGTTTGGTGTCGTGGTTGGGTGCGCGGACTCTAATCTGGGAGAACCGGGTTTGATTCCCCACTCCTCCTCCACTTGCACCTGCTGGATGACCTTGGGCAAGCCGTAGTTCTGATAAGAGCTGTCCTGGAAAAAGAGCAGTTTCTGCCAGAGCTCTCTCAGCCCCACCTACCTCACAGGGTGTCTGTTGAGGGGAGGGGAAGGGAAAGGAGTTTGTAAGCCGTTCTGAGACTCTGAGTGAAGGAGCAGTTCTGGAGAGAGCTCTCTCAGCCCCACCTATCTCACCGGGTGTCTGTTGTGGGGAGGGGAAGGGAAAGGAGATTGTAAGCCGCTCGGAGACTCCTTTGGGTAGTGAAGGGAGGGTAGAAATCCAATCTCCTCCTCCTCCTCCTCTTCTAGTGTGCTTGCCGAATGAATTAATATGACTGGTATGAATATGAAGAACCTTTTTTTGGCACAATCAGGGCTATTCTTGGGTAGGAACGCACAGGAACGGAGTTCCGGCTGGCTTCAGAGTTGGCCACACCCACTGCAGCCAAAACCTCTGTGTGCCTGGCTACAGAGGGACCGCCCCCCCCCCCCAGCGACTTTGAGGCGGGCGGGCCAGGGGGGCCCCTGGAAGGATTGGGGAGGCATTTAAACATGCCTGTCCAAGGGCGGGCTTGCTCGGGCTCTCCGCAGCGGCGGGGCTCCCAAACCAAGTAGTATAAACTGCCTTCCCTTCTCTTCAAGGGGAGGGCTTGCCCGTGCTCCCTGCAGCCACGGGGTGCCCGGGCAAGCCAGGGAAGGCACGGGGTGTGGCCTCATATGTTAATGAGCTGTGCTGTCAGGGGTGTGGCCTATTATGCTAATGAGTTCCTGCTGGGCTTTTTCTACAAAAAAAGCCCTGGGCACAATATATCACAGTTGCTGGCTGCCTTTCAAATTCCATCCAGTGATCTCTCTCTTTGGTTTGGATCCCCAACTGGGGATTGGCCACGTTACCCTTCATTCCACCCATCAAGCCTCTTCTCGCGGCTTCCCAGCCCTTTCTGACAGCATCCCTTTCCCCCCTCCCGGCGGATATATCCATCATGCCTTGCTTGTGGATTTCCCTGTGAGGTCTGGTCTGCGGAAGGCGGAAAGGAAACCTAAAAACGGACCGCTTGGGATGCGAATTGGCCTAGCTGCCCTTTCATTCACCCGCTGAAGTACCGCGAGCAGGGGAGGCAGTGGGTGACTCCGGCTTCCCACCTGGTCTCTGGTACGGTTGATCCTCTCCGTTAGCAGCTCGACCGTATTCCTTTCCTCGTCCAGTTCCACTTCGAGCCGTTTCGATTTGTCCTGTGAATGGCATTTAAAAACAACAACAACACCGTTTGTATACATAACTGGGTCTGAAAAGTGTTAAAGGCAGGGTCTGCCGGACAATTTCTGCTTCGTGCGTTGCCTGATCGGCTTTAGAACGTAAGAACGTAACAGAAGCCATGTTGGATCAGGACAATGGTGCATCCAGTCCAACACTCTGGGTCACACAGCGGCCAAAACCCAGGTGCCACCAGGAGGTCCGACAGCAGGGCCAGAACTCCAGAAGCCCTCCCACTGTTGACCCCCCCCAAGCACCAAGAAGACAGAGCATCAGTGCCCCACACATAAGGACATAAGTGAAGCCATGTTGGATCAGGCCAGTGGCCCATCCAGTCCAACACTCTGGGTCACACAGTGGCCAAAAATACCAGGGGCCCTCAGGAGGTCCAGCAGTGGGGCCAGGACACATGAAGCCCCTCCCACTCATGCTCCCCCCCCCCAGCACCAAGAAGACAGAGCTTTACTGTCCCAGATGGCGTGTTCCCCCTATACCTTGTGGCTAAGAGCCACTGACGGACCTCTGCTCTTAAGAACATCAGAGAAGCCATGTTGGATCGGGCCAATGGCGCATCCAGTCCAACACTCTGTGTCACACAGTGGCCAAAACCCAGGTGCCACCAGGAGGTCCAGCAGTGGGGCCAGAACTCCAGAAGCCCTCCCACTCTTGCCCCCCAAGCACCAAGAATATAAAGCATCACTGCCCCAGACTGAATGTTCCATCTATACCCCGTAGCTAATAGCTACTTATGGACCTCAGCTCCATATAGGAACATAAGAGAAGCCAATGTTGGATCAGGCCAATGGCTCCTCCAGTCCAACACTCTGTGTCACACAGTGGCCAAAACCCAGGGGCCATCAGGAGGTCCACCCAAGACGCCCGCCCTCTCTTTCCCCCTCCCCCAAGCACCAAGTAGACAGAGCATCACTGCCCCAGACAGAGTGTTCCCATCTATATGGTAAAGGTTCCCTTGCTCGAAAGCCAGTCGAGTCCGACTCTAGGGTTGCGGTGCTCTTCTCCGTTTCCAAGCCGAAGAGCCAGCGCTGTCCGAAGACGTTTCCGTGGTCATGTGGCCGGCATGACTAAAACAAAGGCGCACGGAACGCTGTTACCTTCCCACCGAAGTGGTACCTATTTATCTACTTGCAATGTCTTGCTTTCGAACTGCTAGGTTGGCAGGAGCTGGAACTAGAGATGGGAACTCACTCCACCTTGGGGCTAATAGCCACATATGGACCTCAGCTCCATAGGCTTATCCAATCTCCTCTTGAAGCCGTCCATGCTTGTAGTCACCGCCACTTCAGGGCACAGTGAATTCCAAGTGTTAATTGCTCTTTGGGTGAAGGAGGACTTCCTTTTATCTGTTCTAAACCTCCCGCTCATTAATTTCATGGAGTGCCCACGAGATTTTGTCTTGTGAGAAAGGGAGAAAAATACCTCTTTCTCAACCTTCTCTCCCCCATGCGTAATTTTGTAAACCTCGATCACGTCACCCCCCTCAGTCGTCGTTTCTCCAAGCTAAAGAGCCCCCAAGTGCTTTAACCTTCCTTCATAGGGAAAGTGTCCCATCCCCTTAATCATTTTCGTTGCCCTTTTCTACACTTTTTCCAATGCTATAATATCTTTTTTGAGGTGCAGTGACCAGAACTGTACACAACATTCCCAATGAGGCAGCACAATCAATTTATAAACACTCCCTCTAAGCCGTGGAGTCTTGTGAGCAAAAATTCTACGTTGTGAGCTACTGGCATTAAAGTTGTGAGCGAGCGATTTGGCTGCTGCATCTATTAGTTTGCTCTGGAGCCGTCCTTCCTGAGCTAAGTCAAAAATGTGTGTTTGCTGTTGTTCAGTCGCACACCTGAGTCCACGAGCCGGAGGCTAAAAAACTGTGAGCTAGCTCACACTAACTCAGCTTAGAGGGAACACTGATACTGACTGAGCATTATGATACTGGCTTTATATTCTTTGGAATATTCTTTGGAAACAACAGAAATTGTTTTTTTACATGTAGAAGAAGAAGAGGAGGAGATTGGATTTATACCCCACCCTTCACTACCCAAAGGAGTCTCAGAGCGGCTTACAAACTTCTTTCCCTTCCCCTCCCCACAACAGACCCCCTGTGAGGTGGGTGGGGCTGAGAGAGCTCTTGACAGAAACTGCTCGTTTTTTAAGAACAGCTCTTATCAGAACTACGGCTTGCCCAAGGTCATCCAGCCAGGTGCAAGTGGAGGAGTGGGGAATCAAACCCGGTTCTCCCAGATTACTGTCCGCGCACTGAACCACGACACCAAACTGGCTCTCTGTAGGAAAATGTGTGCTTTGAAATGTGCAAAGGGGTGGCAAGCAACTTCGGGTACTGCTCTACTGATGGAAACACATGCAAAGCGACCTGCTTTCCCCATAGCCTCGCAGACAAGGGCACGCAGAAAGTAGCGGGCTCTCGAAAAGCAGTGCTGCCCCCTGCTGCCAAAAAAAGATTTTGCTTTCACACCCCACTGGCCACAGGCTGCACAGAGAGGCGCTGAAATCAGATCGAAAGGCAACGTTTTCGAATTTTAGTCACTCTCGAGATGCAAAACGGAGACAGCAAGACGTCTCCTCCACCCTGCACAGTTTCAGGCATGATTTCTTCCTCAACAACAACAACAACAACAATACAGTCCACAGTCAACAAAGACCAAGAACAACCAACAAATAACAACTGTGTACTGATCAACCCACCCAAAAGCAATAAAAGAGAGACTACAATACAATGCAAAACATGTAATCCATCATAGGACAATACATGAATATAATCCAGAATAACAGTCTCCTGAAACCCAATCTGGAATAGGTGTCCACAATGAAGTCAGGTACACTTTACAGATGTCAGATGTCCAATCCTTTTTACGTAGTAGCAACCCTTACAGGTGCTTTCTAAAACCTGAATGATTGTACTTATTAAGAATCTGCTAAGAGATTTACAGGATTGGCTTATAAGCTCCTGAGGAAGGACCTGAAGTCCGAAACACTTCTTGTACCTAGGAAAAGTGTTGAAAAGGATTGGACATCTGACTGCTGTAAAGTGTACCTGACTTCATTGTGGACACCTATTCCAGATTGGGTTTCAGGAGACTGTTATTCTGGATTATATTCATGATTTCTTCCTCCCCAAAGAGGCCTTCCTTCAAACAGTGCATCTTCTAGATTATACAACATGCTCTGAGCCGTTGCAAGAACCCTGGAAGGGGAGACTGGTAAAACTCTAAGGATGGGGGTCTTGAAGCATGTGGGTCATTTTGTAGAAAAAGAGGTGGAGGAGCTCATTAGCATAACTTATTAGCATAACTTGCTTGCATATGCCACACCCCCTGACATCACTGGAAGTGTGTCAGAAGGCAACACCCACTGCAACTTACCTGGCTGCTTCTTGCTCCTCGTGGCCCGGGGCAGCTGGGAGCAGGGGGCGGGGCCTGTTGCATGTGCCCGCCCCCTGGGCTCTTTACTGCCGGAGCGCCGCTCCTGTGCGCTCCTGCGGGAAATGACCCCTGCTACCGAGAGACCGCTGCCCTTGCGTCAGAAAGAGGGACCCTCTACAATACAGGCCCTGAAGGCGACCCGAGACCTTAATTCAGAGAAAAGAAGAGAGGAGAAATACGAACCTCCAGGGCTTTGATTTGCCGGGATCGATCGTCCTGGGACCGCCGCTTGGAGTCCATCTCCTGCTCCAGGTTGTGGAGGCGCTGAGCCAGCAGCTCCTTGTCCAACACGGCGTTCTCCCGCTCGGCCTGGCTGTCCTGCAGGGCTTGCTTGAGTCGCATCACCTTGGCGGAGAGAAGGACAGGAAGCTGAGGAAGCAGAACAGGACCTTGTGGGGGCTCAGAAAGCAGAGGTCTGAACCCAGGTTCCCCGACGGCCCCAAATCTCACATGCTGCACCGTATCTGATCTTCGCCCAGAAGCGGTATCGGAACCCCACACACACACACCTCTTTTCGCCATCAACACAGTTTGAGCAAGAATCTTGTGTAATCCGACGCACATGAGGTGCTTCAGATAAAGAGGAAAAGCCTCACCCTACACTTCAAGAAGAAGAGGAGACTGGATTTATACCCCGCCCTTCACTACCCAAAGGGGTCTCAGAGCGGCTTACAAATTCCTTTCCCTTCCCCCTCCCCACAAGAGACGCCCTGTGAGGTAGGCGGGGCTGAGAGAGCTCTTGACAGAAACGGCTCTTTTTCAAGGACAGCTCTTATCAGAACTATGGTTTGCCCAAGGTCATCCAGCAGGTGCAAGTGGAGGGGTGGGGAATCAAACCCGGTTCTCCCAGATTAGAGTCCGTGCACTTAACCACGACACCAAACTGGCAAACGAGAAGAGAAGAGATAGGATTTATACCCTGCCCTGCACTACCCGAAGCGGCTCACAATCCCTCAGAGCGGCTCAAGGTCCCTTTCCCTTCCCCTCCCCACAACAGACACCCTGTGAGGTAGGTGTGGCTGAGAGAGCTCTTGACAGAAACTGCTCGTTTTTTAAGAACAGCTCTTATCAGAACTATGGTTTGCCCAAGGTCATCCAGCAGGTGCAAGTGGAGGGGTGGGGAATCAAACCCGGATCTCCCAGATCAGAGTCCGCGCACGTAACCACGACACCAAACTGGCTCTCTGCATTGGGGACCTCTGCAGTAGGAGATGTGAAAGACCTTCTCCTGAGACCTTAGAGTGGGAAGGGATTTCCAGGGTCATCTAGTCCAGCCCCCTGCACAAGGCAGGAAATTCACAAATACCTCCCCCGCCCCCCTGTGTGTGTAAGAAAGAAAACCTTGGAAAACTGCTGCTGACCTTGACAGACCAGGGATCAGACTCAGCAGAAGGCTGCTCCGTGTGTGTTCAGATGAGACTAATGAAATAAATTCTACACTGGATCTGCACGCTGCAGAGAGAGAACCTCATTGCCGAAGGACGTACCTGGATTCTGCTCTGAACACCCTTCTTTGAGCCAGTTTGGTGTCGTGGTTAAGTGCGCGGACTCTGATCTGGGAGAACCGGGTTTGATTCCCCACTCTTCCTCCACTTGCACCTGGCTGGATGACCTTGGGCAAGCCGTAGTTCTGACAAGAGCTGTTCTTGAAAAAGAGCCAGTTTGGTGTAGTGGTTAAGTGCACGGACTCTAATCTGGGAGAACCGGGTTTGATTCCCCCACTCCTCCACTTGCACCTGCTGGATGACCTTGGGCAAGCCGTAGTTCTGATAAGAGCTGTTGATGTAAAACAGCAGTTTCTGTCAAGAGCTCTCTCAGCCCCCACCTATCTCACAGGGTGTCTGTCGTGGGGAGGGGGATGGAAAGGAGTTTGTCAGCCGCTCTGAGACTCCTCTGGGTAGTGAAGGGCAGGGTATGAATCCAATCTCTTCCCCTTCTTCTTCTCTTCTTTCAGATTGCCTCCTCCAGCAGGATGGTCTCCCGGATCTCCGCTGACTCCCGTAGACTTTCAACTTACTGCATTTCCCCCCAGCCCTGCAGAACCAGCCTGTAATCCTCTCGAGGGGCCCCCCTGTCCTTTGCTTGACAAAAGACCGACACTTGGCGGGTCAAGGGATCAATTGTCCTGCACCTTAGCCAAGGGCTCTGAGGCCCTAGTCAGCAACTAATCTTTTCCTAGACAGCCAGTTTCGCAAATGGAGGGATGCAGAGAGAGGGCCTCAAAAGCTGCCCCCCCCCCCACAACAACCCAGTTCTCCTACTCCTATTCTTAGCTTCTGCGTGCATTCAGAGAGCTTGGGGAAGGACTCCAGAAATTTTAAAACTGCAGAGATTCAATTTTAAAAGGGGAGTTTCTAGCTTTGGGGCTCTTTGTTCTAAAGCGGAAGGAATGCCACCCTATGTGCTAAAGACTCGTGTGTGTGTGTGGATGTAAGGTAAAGGTAAAGGTTTCCCTTGCTCGAAAGCCAGTCGAATCCGACTCTAGGGTTGCGGTGCTCATCTCCGTTTCAAAGCCGAAGAGCCAGCGCTGTCCGAAGACGTTTCCGTGGTCATGTGGCCGGCATGACTAAGCACCAAGGCGCACGGAACGCTGTTACCTTCCCACCAAAGTGGTACCTATTTATCTACTTGCAATTTCTTGCTTTCGAACTGCTAGGTTGGCAGGAGCTGGAACTAGAGACGGGAGCTCACTCCGTCATGCGGCACACTCGGGTCTCGAACTGCTGAACTACCGACCTTCCACAGCCTGCAGTTCAGCATCTTAACCCACTTGAGCCACCGCAGCCACTCTCCTCAAGTGTAGGGGAGAGTTAAAGAGAAATCATGATGAGGTTCAAAATGCACCACACCTACCAATGTGGCTCCTGTTTTCATACCTGAACACCCTTGACACTGTCTTATACTGAATCAGACCTTTGATCCACCCCGGCCAGGATTTTGTGGCTTGTGGGGCGAATTTTTTTCTGGTGGGGCTGAAGTTCTCAGTGCAGAAAGAAGAGCCATTTAGCCAACAGACAGCTGCTGCCAGGATAGATCTCTAGATTGCAAGCTCTTTGCAGAGACCGACTGACAAGTGTACCCCTTTGTCGGCTGTTCCCCAACACGGTGCCCGCGGGCACCATGGGATCCTTTTGCCTGGGGTCCCTAACATGGCGCCCATTTCCTGGCACTCGCCAAGTGCTCTTAGAACCTGGGAGGGGTTAGGCGGGGAATTTGCCCAACAGGGCTTCTGATTGGTTACGCAGATTAAAAGGCATCCCGTCAAACAGAAGAAGAAGAGAAGAGATTGGATTTATACCCCGCCCTTCGCTTGGAGTCTCAGAGTGGCTTACAACCTCCTCTCCCTTCCCCTCCCCACCACAGGCACCCTGTGAGGTCGGTGGGGCTGAGAGAACTCTGACACAAACTGCTCTTTTTAAAGGACAGCTGTGGCAGAGCTTGTGACTGACCCAAGGTCACACCAGCAGCTTCATGTGGAGGAGTGGGGAATCAAACCCGGTTCTCCCAGATTAGAGTCCGCGCACTTAACCACTACACCAAACTGGCTCTGCCTGAAATGTCAAATTCGTACTGTTGGAATTCAGATGGGTAGCCACAGTCCCATAGCCAGGATTTTGCGGTTCGTGGGGCAAATTCTTTTTCTGGTGGGGCTGAAGTTCTCAGTGCAGGAGGAAAAGCCATTGAAGCCAACGGAAAGCTGCTGCCAGGATAGGCCTCTAAACTGCAAGCTGTCCGCCACTTTGGACGACAGTTCTCAGCTGCTGCAAGTTAATCACTTCTGCCAGCCTGAGCAACAATCCTGAGAACAAGCTGGCACGGGGTGTGTGTGTGTGTGTGTGTGATGACTTCTAGAGTCAAGAAAGGTAACACATAGGCACAAAAACTCTCTCTTAGGAGACTAGTTTCTCAGCTGCTAGTTCTCAGCTAGTTCTCAGCTGCTGCAAGTTAATCACTTCTGCCAGCCTGAGCAACCATTCGGAGAACAAGCCGGTGGTGGTGGTGGTGGTGGGGATGAATGATGACTTCTATAGTCAAGAAAGCTCACACTAAGGCAGAATCATTCTCTTAAAGGAGACTACTTTCTTGACACAGAGTTAGAAGGTATCCTAGAGGTCACCCACTCCAACCCCCTTGCTCAGTATGGGAATCAGTCAACTACAGCACCCCACTCTCCTTAAAGGAGCTCACACATCTTCAAACATGTCTTAAAACGATTGAAAAAAGCATTTACGTGCCTTTAAGAAAGGGGGCAGAACCCCCTCCCCCCAAGGCCTCACCTACCACCTTGTACTTTCCACTGGAGATGCCAGGGACTGAAACAGGGACCTTCTGCGTGCCATACTGAGGCTCTTCTGCAAAGCCACAACCGCTGCAACCACACTTGGTTCATTGATGTCCTTTTAAATGGCGATGCCGGGGATTGAACCTGGGACCTTCCACTGGTTGAGCAGAGGCTCTTCCACTGAGACGCAGCCTCTCCCCTTCCACCTGTTCATAGTGCAACTTCTCTGCGGGAGGACTCCGTGCTTTCCGCTCCCAAGACGAGGATGCCAACAGTCCTGCCCTCTCACATCTCACGTGCCCTTTTTAAAAGGGTGGTCGTGACGGCCACAGGCACAGACAGCTTGAAGAGGGGATTAGATAGATCCATGGAGGATGTCTATCAATGGCTACTAGCTATGGTGACTGAGGGGGAAACTCCACATTCAGAGGCAGTCAACCTCTGAATCCCAAGAGGCAACACCAGGGAAAGGCCTCTGCCCCTCTGCCCTGTTTGTTGGCCGTCCAGAAGAACTGATTGACCGCTGCAAGGCATGTAATGCTGGAATGGATGGACTATCGATCTGATCCAGCAGGGCTCTTCTGATGTTATTCTGAAGGCCTCGGCCTCCCTGCCCTGTTGTGGGCCCTCCAGTGGAACTGGTTGGCCACTGTGTGAGATGGGAGGCTGGACTAGAGGGACCCTCACTGGTCTGATCCAGCAGGGGCTCTTCTGAGGTTCTTCCCAGGGGAAGGCCTCGGCCTCTCTGCCCTGTTGCTGGACCTCCAGAGGAACTGGTTGGCCCCTGTGTGAGATGGGAGGCTGGACTAGATGGACCCCCACTGGTCCGACCCAGCAGGGCTCTTCTGAGGTTCTTCTCAGGGGAAGGCCTCGGCCTCTCTGCCCTGTTTGTTGGCCCTCCAGAGGAACTGGTTGAGGCCCCTGTGTGAGACAGGATGCTGGACTTGAGGGACCCTCACTGGTCTGATCCAGCAGGGCTCTTCTGAGGTTCTTCTCAGGGGAAGGCCTCGGCCTCCCTGCCCTGTTGCTGGCCCTCCAGAGGAACTGGTTGGCCTCTGTGTGAGACAGGAGGCTGGACTAGATGGACCCTCACTGGTCTGATCCAGCAGGGCTCTTCTGATGTTCTTCTCAGGGGAAGGCCTCGGCCTCTCTGCCCTGTTGTTGGCCCTCCAGAGGAACTGGCTGGCCGCTGTGTGAACTGGGATGCTGGACTAGAGGGACCCTCGCTGGTCTGATCCAGCCGGGCTCTTCTGAGGTTCTTCAAACCATAACCCAGCCCTGCCTCACATCTCTCGTGTATCCATACGAGCCACTCGGTCCCCTACCTCGTCTTGCAGC